ATATTATAGTTTTAATTTATTATTTTTATCTTAAAATTTGTATTTAATCATACAATACTGATTATTTAATAGAAGGAGAACTCACTGTAGAAGATTTTAGTCATCATTAATAATAATAGTTTTTTGTAATAAATGTAAATTGATTCGAATTCAACGATAAATATTAATTCATAATTTAAAGAACAATTACAATTATTATKAACAAAGAAATAAGTAGGTTAGCATCCATGAAATTTTAAGCATATTTTATGTTAAATTATTGGTATTTTCGTGGTTGACCTTATTATTGACAAAAAAATAGAATAAAATAATTGAATATACTAACAGGTCATATAGTTTTAAATTGTATTTGGTAAGTATAAATAACCTTAAATCAGTTTTTAAAATGACATTGTGTATGATAAACGTGATGGAAAAAACTTTGAAGTATGTACAATTGGTATTATTTGAATAAATTATATTGAAATAATTAAAACCGTTTAAATAAAATAGTTGTTTTAATTATTTTAAGAATATATTTTCGTTTAAATTTGAACTTCGTCACTCAATACTTCATAACATAAAAAAATGAACCATATATTTTAATAAATTATTTGAATATAGATAAACTTGTGAGGAACCTTTAAATACATTTATAAGGTAATACTTTCAAATATTTATAAATAAATACCTGCATATTTATATTTAATACGCACAAAAAGAATCAAAATATTACCATAGGCGCCCGTAGGGGGGGGGCAAGCTGGGGCATTTGCCTGGCTTTTTAAAAATATTTTTTTTAATTGAATGTTTTAAGATAAATTACTATATACTATACAACAAATTTAAAGTATAAAATAAGTTGTAATATAATAAAATATAATATATTGTATACGAGTATAATAAAAAAGGTTATTATTTTAAAACACCAAGTAAAATTATAATATTTATCCTCAAATCCTAACATTCTCCCCCCCCTAGAAAAATTTCTGCGGGCGCCTATGAATATTAAGAAATCTATACCATTTCTATAAAATATCGGAATATGCATTTCGTGAAAACTTCTAATTCCTACAATATTGCCTTATGAATTACGAAAAAAAAAACATTCGTCGAAGACTGGTGTTCGGAAAATATTTCCATTTAACTGTTCTTTTTACTTTTTTTTTTTAAGTAAAATAATTGCTGTTTTTTTTTTTTTTTTATTTTAAATAAGCCTCAACAACAAAGGTTATTGGCCTTTAACTTAAATATTTTTTTTAACAAGAATAAGTCATTAACAATAATATATACAAAACAAAGGTAATAATATGAACAAAAAAAGATTGAGATATATCTAGGTTAAATAATTTGGTATAGTTTGGTTTGTTTTAGATAACTGATTAATTTTTCAATGTTGCTTGGCTGGGGACTTAGAGCTTCTTCCAGATTATCTTCTATGTTGAACYTGGTTCTGATGTCGGTGAATTTTATTGCTGTTTTCTTCCTTTGACTATAGTCAACTATAGTCAAACTATACTGAATGTACTGCCAAGAATTCAGAAAACACAATTATTTCAATTATTTTTTAATATTGTGGTAATTTGACTGCTCTAAGACACACACGTTACATATTATTATTCTTGTAAAATTAATATATTCTTTACTTAGCCCAGGATTCTAAAACATTTGTCATCAATTAGTCAACATTAAACTGTTAAACGTTATTCAACTATAGTCTATAACTCTAAGTGGGGTACGATCGTTTACATTCATTATTTTCAATTATAGGAATAATTCTATAAAATAATATACAACGATAATAATAATACTTAAATATTATATTAAGATTTAAGATATTTAAAAAAAACTATTGTAAGACCATAATAGTTTCTACTAAAAGTAATTTTTCTTTTTTAAATTTTATAAGCAGTGGTGGAAAACATTATATTATATACAAAAAAGGCGGGTAAGTCGTGGATGCCACTCTGCTGTACAGTAGGTTACTAGTGGGTTACTGTAATGGATGGAATTAAATTTGAATCCAATAGGATAATCTATATCCTGAAATCACGTATAAACCAAATTAATAATAAAAATAGAGACCTTTATATGTATTCTAAATATTTT